TTGGGGGTCGGATTTTAATTCTATTATTTTAAAAGAAAAAAAAGGGAATGGAGGTTAGTTGCATGACCTGTTCCCAAAATTGTGTAAATTCATACCATTCTATGTTAATCCGTTTATCATTCAATGTATGCGCCATTAGTGTCAGTAATACCCTGGTGTGGAAAGAAAAGTACACATGAAGGGAATACTTGGCTCTCTTTTTGTCTTTTTTAAATATTTCATTTTACTTTTTTCCCATCGACGTGCGATATAACATCCTGAAATGGGCACTGTAGTATAATATTTCCGTTTCACCATCGAGTGTGCCGTTTGACTTGGTTTGAGCCAAATAGAAAATATGTGGTGGGATTTTTTTCAGATGAAGGTTGGCGGGGGGAGGGGGGGAGCGGAGTTGTCCCGCACACTTGACTTCAGAAGGCCAGCCCAGATTTCGGGGGTTTCCAGAAATGTTGACCTACACCATAAGTGGACATTGCCATACCTATAGGAGAAGTTTGGTTTCATTGGCGCGTAGATCTATATTTGTTTGGTTACAGAAAAAACTCTCCGTGTCTTAAAACAAAACTGAACAAGTGGCAAAAAAATTACCTTCAATTTTCTCAAAACAGCATTTTTCGGGATAGCCCCCTTGTGCTTAAAAGCGATAAATATGTTACGAAACGAGAAGCCACATTCTGTTCGCGCATTCATTTTGCATGGGATAAATTCCATTCCCAAGTGTAAGTGGAAGATGTTATATTATTTATTTGTTTGTTTGTTTGTTCAGAGGCGGACTTTCACACCTTTGACCCCGAGGAACGACAGAGGAAGGCAGTGTTCTATACTCGGGTGGAGCCCAGGGAGGGCTACATTGAGGTCAAGGCTTCTTGTGAGTACTTTCTGTCTGTATGTGTGTTTGGTTGTCTGCTTGTCTGTACCTCTGGGTTTCTGTCTGTCTGTTTGTCTGCCAGTTTCTGTCTCTCTGTCTCTGTCTCTCCCTCTCTCTTTCTTTCTTTCTTTCTTAATTTCTCTCTCTCTCTCTCTCTCTCTCTCTCTCTCTCTGTCTCTTCTTCCTCTCTGTCTCTCTGTCTCTCTCTCTCTCTCTCTGTG